TGCTCTGGGTGCCATCAGCACAGGCACACAACCCACTGAGCGCCAGCAAAGCGGGTCCTGGCAGGACGGAGCTCAGCACAGCCTCTGTTCTTCTGCAGCCTGCGGTGGCCGGCAGAGTCCCCCAGAGGAGATGGCAAGGCCAATGAGTAATAAGGAGAACTGATGTTTTCCCAAGCAGAAACCAGCCTGACTCACCACTATTTTGTTTCTTTTATTGTTATTTGTATTGCTTTGATGCCAGACATCAGATCTCAGTTATTGAGCTCAGGGTTTTATCACCATATAACAGAAGAAAGTGCCATCTGAAATGCTTCCAAACTAAATCAATAGGAGGGAAAAAAAGGAAAAAGCGGAGCAGCTTGCTGCAATCCAGGGCAGAACACTTCCCGACACCCGGCTGCTGAGCTTGCCATGAAGTCAGTGTCTGCTCCTGGCAGGGCTGCCATCGAAGCGGCTCTCTGGAGCTGGTATCTGCCATGGAAACATCTTTCTTGAGCCAGTGCCTAGTGCAGGGTAAGAACTTGGGTGGTTGGTGATACCTATCAGCCTCCACCGCATCTACCAGGCACGATATGCATCTATCCCTGAAAGCCATCACTCTCATCCCAAAGAGTTTAATAAAATACAAGGACCCAGATTCAGTAAGGCCAATAAAAGCAGAACTGCCCTCAGATTCAGACAGAGGAGTACAAACAAAGAGAACCTTGATAACTGAAAGACAAAAGGTGACTGGAAGATCAATGCAAGAAAACTTTGCGGGAAGTCTGGGGCAGAATGGGAACAGTAGAATGGGATCAGCGCATGTAAGAGCTAGTGGGAGCTGTGCAGGAGAATGGAAAGAGCAGGTGGAAGAGCTGGCAGAGGAGGACAGCAGGGAGAGGGGCTGGGCTTGGGTGTGCATGCACCAGGGGAAGAGTGAGAGCAGGCACAGGGCCAGGTGCTGCAGGAACATCATGCATTGCTGCAGGAACCTCATGCATGGCTGCTCGGGGCACGAGGATGGCAGCTCCCAGCCAGCACTGTGCTCGTGGTGGGCACGGCAGGCAGCACGAGGCCGGGTTCCAGGCAGCATCAGGCTGTGCCTTGGCCTAGGAAGGCATGCCTGGCATTTTTGTCAGCGATGTCTCTGGAAGTAAATCATGAGCCCTTCTGGAGACTTGTGCCTATGTATTAGGACAATTATTGCTTTCTTTCAACCCTGGCCGTGTAAAAACACGTCACTTATTTTTTTGAGAACTCCTCATCTCCTTCTCTCAGTCACCTTATCTCAGCAGGCAAAAATAAATCCCCAAACCCAGCTTCTCAGACATTGAAAAATGTTGATGATGCTACAGCACTGAAATAGTTTGCACAGAGTTCTCCATGTTGCACATACTGCCCTGCCCTCTGCAGCCACCTTGCAGGCTTGGGGATGAATGAGGTTTCCATGCATGAGGCTGAAGTCAAAGCGGGGAGATCTGCCTACAAGGCCCCCGGAACACCATTAATTGTCCGATAGCAGTGCGACCCGGGAGGACGCGTGATGATGTCTGTGGCACTTCTGCGAGCCCACAGCAGGGAGCTGCTCTTCGTCAATTCTGCTCAGAGAAGATGGACGGCAGCAGGGCTGTGTGATGGACGGAAGGACAGACGGATGGATGGATGGATGGATGCAGCTGTGGGATCTCTGCTCCTCTCCTTCCTGCGCTGTTTGCATGAATCCTTCCAAAGCTTTTTGGGTGCTTTCTTCTCCTTTCAAGCGGACGAAATGTGCATGCTTTGGGTTTTCTTTTCCCCCATTAATTTCCTCAGTTCTGAAGCAGAACGGATCTAATTATCCTTCCTTTCCCAGACAAATAGAACAGCTTTGAAAAATTGCCTGTTCTTTTGTACACCTGGCATCTGGAGTTGGTAAAAACTCAGAAACTTCTTAAATGCTCCTTGTGGTTGAGAGGAAGGGAGGGTGATATTTAGTCAGTGATCTTTGCCCTCATTTTTAAGGAAAAAAAAAAACAAACCAACAAACCATCAATTCTGCTGCTGGCAATTGCAAAAGCAGTTAGGCTGAGCTCTCTCTTAAGTGAACAAACACTTACGGATCTATTTATACCTGCCCTGAAGCAGACTGCTGTAGGTGGAAATGCTGTAATTATTTCCTCTCCCTGCTTCCCACTGTCCTATAAAGATCTCCTGGAGCAGCTTGTTAACAAGTCACTGCTGTACATGGGTGAAATTTGGATGGAACCCATCTTAGCAACAAGCCCAGTTTGGCTCCAGCTGCTGAGAACAGCTATGACAAAGGTGAGATGTGTGGAGCTGCTATGAGATGGCTCCTGTTGCTTAGCCCCATCTATCTAGGAAGGCAGAGAATTACAAATTAGGAGCCTGGCTGGCAGCTGAGGGGGGACAGGGACTCGATCAGCACTCGGGGGATGCAACAACACTGTTTTCCTGTGTGCTTCTTTTCCCATCACTGCATGTTTTCAAATTAATTTCCCTTCCCAAAGAGTCTCTCTCTGTGATTATCTTCCTGCTTTTCTCCCTCCTCTTCCCTGGATTTATTTCTCAGGGCAGATGATCTCCACTTGCCACTCAGGTTAACTCTGCTTTCAGTATCAAAGATCACTTAAGCTGAAAATAGCTTTTCAATGGGTCCACATCACAGCCCAGGGGTGCCTGGTCAGCAGCCTTCAGGTCCATTCAGCATGCGGGGCTCTGAGCATTCCCTCACCATGGCCGCAGCCGCTGCACCCCATGTCAGAAAGGGAGGGGGACAGCCTTGGGCACAGCTGGATGGGGACCAGGTGGGAGGAGCTGATGAAGCAGGGAAAAAAAACACAAACATTCAGCAGGGCAGCCGGCTCTGTAAGTTTTGATTTGATCTTCATGAAAAGGAAAACAATCTCTTTAAGGGGCCATAGATTTTTATCACTGTGTTGCTACGGGTTATTAGGAAACAGCAAGTGGTGATATTTAATATACAGAGTCCAAATTACTCAGTGGTATATAATAAGGCCTACGCCATTAGGACACGAAGCCTTGCCCTTCAGTTCAAAGCAACGCAGCATGACGCTCCTGGAGCAGGAGGATCGGCGCTGCAGGTCCCGCTGTCCTGCCTGCCCTGGGCACCAGGGGGTGGGCTGTGGGTTCCCAACAGCCAGAGCTTCTGTGAGCACAGCCGGCTGTGCTGAGCATCTCCATGACCCTAAATGTGCAACAGCATCACTGCTTTGGGAAGGTCACAACCGAATCACGGAATCATTAAGGTCCCACCACCAGTGCTGACAGTATCATCATCACGTGTGGCAGGCGGGGGGCTGAGCCACGGACTGTGACGAGCCCCACAGAGGCAGCCCTGGCAGAGATGTCACCGTCCTCACTACGCTTCAAACACAAGCAGATGCAAAAAAGGCAGCAGTTCAGTGAAGTTCTACCGCGGTGTATTTCAGAAGATGTGCCAGATGGCTGACAGTGAGTCTTTTAAACCCTGACTTCTCTTCTGAGCCAGCCATACTATCATCCATCAGACGGTCTCTTTGGGCTGACATTGCAGAGCGTGTCTGTCTCCTTTAGATTTGCCTTGCTCCTGTTTATTTCTAGCTGATTTATTTATATCTGGAACGGATACAAGTGGCACAATTTCTTTGTTTCATTAAAAGATTCCTTGATCTAAATTTTAAAAGATTTGTCTTCAGAGAGATGAAAGTCAACCAAGCGTATGCCTTGCATCCCCGGCTTTTTCCATATTCTGGGTAAATCTGGGAGAGACATTTTGTTGCACAGCAATAAGCTGCTGTCGAGGCTAAGGTAAACCTGGTCACCAAACTGCTGGGTACTGACACGTCCCTCGTTTGGCCTTCTTAGTTATCATTTCCTAAGGGGTGAAACAGTGTTGACGGAGCTTAGGCTATCAAAAACGTGTCAAGGTAAAACCAACAGCCAACTGTGAGCATGGAAAATTACACCCACTGCCCAGCAGCTCATGCCAGGCAAGGAAAATACCATTTGCACAGCTGAGCACTGTCAGTCCCCGTACCCTTGGGGCCGAGAAATCCTAAACTTGACCCGCGGCAACCTGCAGCTCGCTCCTGGGCAGACTGCATGCAGCCCTTCTCTAAAAGGGGCTGTTCAGCCTGGGAACCTCGTTTACTGATTTTGTGCGTGTCTCAGCCCCTCCGCATCCCCTGATTTTAGGGGTCGGCTGCCACTAGGACAGAGCCGCTAGACAGAGCCATGCCTGCTGTCTCTGGGAAGCACTGGGAGCCGTTTCCTTCCAGCCAGCCCAACTGCTCCACGAATCAGTGGGGTTTGAGCACGTGGTGCTGCCCTGCAGGCTGTCACTGCCAGCGCTGCAGAAGGACAGGCTGTCTGTGGGCTCTCTGTATGGGATTGCTGCGTGTTGCTGTGGATGGTTTGAGTGTGTCCTGACTATGAATCACTGCTCTCTTTCTGACCTACTGTCCTAATTGAGCATCGTGTGTTCTTTAGAAGCTCACTACTGCCTGCCCTACCTTTTGGCAGTAAAGCAGCAGCCTGGAGCTGCAGGTGTTTGCCCCGCTCCTTCGTTCTATGACAAATTAGAGGAGATCTAGCAAAACGATGTGCTGAATCACGGATCCTCCCTGAACGTGACCCCACATCGCTGCCCCTTTGTCTGGCTGTCGTCAGTAGCGGGGTCAGGCCAGGACATGGCTTTTCCATCAGCTGTGTGAATTTTTCTGCTGTGCATGTTCCAGCAAAATCAAAGGCCTGAGAAAGGGATTCTGTGGAAGCTTTTTTGTCAGGGACTCTGCCCTCATTAGTTATAGTTTGGAGCAAAGCCTCAGGGCAAGACCAGCACAGTTCTCCTGTTTGATTGTGTGGACACTGCCGCTTCTTTGGAACCCCAAAGCCTGGCAGATTGGCAAGAAGAGCTGCAGCTGCCTTGCTTCTCCAGCATGTTTAACAGTGTACCCCTTCCTGACCACCTAGTGTCTTCTCTACATTAAAGGGAGAACCACCTGCATGCTCCGAGACCCCGCAGTGACGCTGCCTGCTCACAGCCCTCTGAAGGACTTCCATCCAAGGGCTTATCTCCACTGCAGAATGAGCTCAGGTTTCCAGCCAGGGGTGCCCCAGCCTCCCAGCCCTGCCCTTGCTGAGCAGTGCAATGGAAAGTTGGCATCGAGTGACCCACCAGGCGCTGCACATTAGGGTTTAAATGCTACTGGTGCTGCAACTGCTGGCAGGGCTGTAGGGATAGGGACATCCGTGCTGCCCCATGTTTCCAGGCCCCCAGGTCCCTCCATGGTGCTCTGTGAGCCACCTGGGTGCTGCCTCCACACAGCTGCATTGCAGAATTCCCTAATTTCCTCTGTTTTGGATACAAGCTGCTGGTAAGATAGGTGAGAGGTCTGTTCAATGCAGCTTGGATATGCAGCAACAACCTGGATGCCTTAATATTTTTTGCTCCTATTTTTTAATGTCTTTTTTTTTTTTCCCTGAGAATGTGTTGCTTCCATCACCACTGGAGATTCCCCCCCCCTCCCCTTTTTTTTTTTTTTTTCATTCTGTCTTTTAAATCTCTCTGTGTTTTGCAATAGTACCACATTTGTTTGCATTGACCAGAGGAGAGCAGACCCTCACTTCCGACCAGCTTCTGACCCAGCTGCAGATCAGGTCTGGATTTCACACTATCCATACATAAATATATATCATATACATGTCATGTTTTTTTACAAGGAATTTTGCTCTTTTACCTCGAGGACTCACCTGTTTCTGGAAATACAGCTCCAACTGAGCCTCTTCTGACTCTGTGGGAGGAAGTCCTTGAAGACAAGCTGAACCAACTTGGAAGAGAACTTACAGTGGGACCGTTGCTCAACGACTGTTGTTCTCCCCATTACATGGTCATGACCCTTCTTCTGCTCCCTTCCCCTGCCTGTGTGGTGAAGCCCAAAGAGGTGACCCCGTGCACACAGCTCTGCCCAGGGCTCACAGCCCTGTTCTGCCACTGCTCCCTAAATGTGTGCTTCTTCCACCCCGCTTCACAAACCAAACAGCATTCTGTTTGTAAGGAGCGTCACGCACTGACACCTCCTACCGGAGTTCCATGATATGAAGCCATTTTCAAGGAAAGAAAAAAAAGATTTCCTGCGTTTGCTTCTTTGTGTTTGCACTGCTTTTATTAAAATGGTCTGCCATGAGCTGCATCGTGGATGTAAAATGGTACAGCCTCAGACTGGACTGAACTGGAGGTTTTATGGAAAAGCATTTTGTGAGAAAACTGTTCCCAGCTATGTAGCCTTAGAAACAAGGGAGGTAGAACTGGAGGTCTATGAATATGGAGAGCCTGGAGATGGGAGAATCACAAGGGAGACGACTGTGCAGCCAGGATGAAAGATGAGAGCTTCAGCAGAGAATGGATGAAGTTAAGGGAGAAGGGAAGACGCCGTGTGACAGTGGGAGGATTTGTTCCACCCAGCCCCAAATAGGAGCACGAAACACAGGTTTGCTTGGAGTGGTGAAAAATCCATCAGAAATGTTCAGATATGATTGTGAGACTATAGAAAGCTCCAGGACATCCTGGAATACTGCACCATTTATCCCAATCGGAGGGTGAGTCAGCATTCAATTACGTGCAGTCAATTCTACATTCAGTTTTCGATGCGTTGGCGACAAAGCAATTTAGATAATACGGTCATATAGCAGAATCACCTTCCTTACAAGTCTGAGTTACATTAGCTGAAATAAAAAGTGTGTCAGCGCCCATTTTGCAGCGTATCAGATAATCACCGCGTGGGATGCAGAAGAAATCTCTTCTTCCCATTGCCCATGTAATTGTGCAACGGCTGCTTTCTCTCCTCTGAAGCCGTTGCTTATGGCTGCTCCTGAGACTCGACAGCTGTGCTGCTGCGTGCAGACGCCGTCGGCAGCCCTGCACACCGATCCCCGTGCTGCATAAGAGCTCCTACTGGTTTTACTGGAGAGAAAACATTGTGCTGTAATGAAGCGGGTATTCCACATGAAGGTATGTGAGGTTTGGTCCTTTGTCCATCACATGGTGAAGACCTGTGATGAGTGAAATAGAAGGTCTGTGTTCTCTCCCCGCCACGGCTTTATTGGCATGAAAAGCCACAAGCCCAATGACCTGGGAGATCTCTAGATGTGGCTCTGGGTTCAAATGACGATTGCCATTAGTTCAGGAAAGATGTTACGCTAATTTTAACTTTTTTTCTTCATCCTTTAAAGCAGCTATTATATTATTTTGTAGCAATTATACTTTTGGGAATCAAAGCTTGGAGAGGAAATGAGCGATTTGCTATGCTTTAAACTGGTGATATAAACTGGCTGATCGTTTCAGTATTGCTGAGAAATTCAGACTTCCATGCACTACTCCTTACACGGACAGGATAATGGAACTGCATTAAAAACCACTCCTCACATCCCAGGAGCAACCACGTAGCTTGAACCTTAATTCCATCCCACCATTCCTACTGCCATAACTCCACAGACTTTAAAGCGTTGAATAAGAGCCAGACATAGAGCACAGGCAAGAGAAATTTCCATTGGATTTTTTTCCATGGACAATGCCCTTAAAGACCCAAGGTCAGACACTGCTCCCCCATAAGCTGGCATCTCTTTGTCCAGCTAGACCTTTGTGTCTACTTCAGGCTCCTGGAATTCCCTTGGGGGACCTCAGCATTCTCTAAGTGTGAGTGCATTTTAGCTGTCGTGGCCAAGTTTACCCACAAATACTATTTTTTCCCCTTCTGATTTATTGCACAGAAAGGCCAATGCTGCACGGAGACGTACCTGAACTCATGTTCAGTCTTGAAAGTCCTCTGCTTAGAAACTGTGTCACAGGTTCAGAGCCACTAGGTTCCTGCTCCCCTGAAAGGAAGCACTCTCCTTTGCTGCTAATGTGAAGAGAGTTCCCAATGATCTTCCTCTTGTGAGAAGGAGTTTCATACTGTACCCATCACTATGCTGAACTTCCTTTCCTTGGAAGCCACCATCACTCAAATTGTCAGGCTCTGGCAGCACACTAGGTTGCCTTGGCTCTTCTCAAATGAATGCTCTCAAACTCAGGACATGTCACCTTTGGCTTCCCTACATTTTTCATCACTCAAGATGCCTCCCTTGTCTTCTTGGAAGGCTGGAGAGCAGCGCAGGGCTGGGACAGCCAGAGGGTGTGAATTCAGAGCAGCGGTTCAGGCATCAAGGGAAGCCTGCGCTGGCTGGATCGCTGCCCCAGTAGGGGTGAGTGTCCACTTACTTCCAAGAGAGTCCCCAGGCATTTTCGGGCTCCTTTTTTACCCGAACTGAAGATAATCAGAATGACAGAAAATCAGGAGAAGAACTTCTGTGTTTGTCAGGCATTTTTATAAGCAAATGCCCCTCCATTGCTCCTTTGTTAGTTTAAACAGACTGAATGAAAGCACTTTTCCTTCCCGGTCAGTTTTTAATGTTTAGCATCTCCTTTTCACGTTTAGTATCTCTCAGTTAAAAGGACTGACCAGCTTGCCTGAATTCCACCTCAGAGGAAACAGATTTAGCAGTTTTCCTGGAAAATACCAAGTAAGCAAAACTCTTCAGCAAGTTCTTAATGAAACCTACTTTTAGAAGTAATTTTTTAGTCTGCCTTCATCTATCATAAATTAAAAGGGCAGAAAATCAGCCTTTCATCTTCAGTGTTTATTTCTGATCCCCATAAAACAATGAAGGTTAGCAGTCCCCACAGCTTAACAAGCAGCTTTCTGTCTCTTTAAGGCTGTTTATGAATCACTGTAACAAGAATAACGAGTAATTTGAAGCTGATTGACGAAGCTATGTGGCTATCAGCTAGGACAATCCTCGCCTCAGAGCTCTGCCTGTCAGCAGACCCTGCAGAACTGGCTGGCGTTAGACTGGCTGCATCCAGAGCAAAAGTTAACTCGAGAAAAAAATTATATTGGATTTTAATAAAACTTTCCTCCGAGGTCAACCTCTCTAAGGTATAAAATCAATTTCTCTTCCCTTCTTCTACTTTACTCTGTTTTCTCATAGCTACAGAAAATCCTCATCCTCACGGAACATTTCCCATTGCCTTTTTTCCACCTCGCCCTTATCACAGTAGCTGCCTGTGAGCACTCATTGGCTCGGCCATTTTATTTGGACTCACTACCCCCATTTCACACTCTGTGCCTGGCTTTCTCAGGATCGGTTCCCCTTTCTCACACCATCAATTATCAGGCTGTTCTTCTGCAACAGATCCTGCCTCATAGCAGCTTTAGGACACAAAACCTTTTCACTTCATCCCTCAAGGTGGCTGAAACAGCAGAGCTTTGGTGCAAAGTCTTAATTGAAGCATGCCAGGTTTCTCCTAGCTTTGATTTTTTTTCTTATTGAGCAGATGCCTTCTGTGTCATGCCTGGGACTCCAGTAACTTCAGCCAAGTAAAGCAGAGCATCAGTGCGCTTAGGAGCGAATGCTGTGAGCCCTATGCTCCTGCGGGTCAGTCCCCTTTGATTTTATTTGCCCAGCAAGATAATGTTTATTCTTTCTCATTTTCTTTTTTCTTTCTCTCTTCCTCCTTTCCTCCCTTTCTTCCTTTTCTTCTTTCCTTCTCTCTCTTTTTTTTTTTTTTTTTTTTTTTTTTTTAAAGAAGAATCACTAACATCTAAGAAAGCACCAGTTCAGAAGTTTCTTTTGTCAGACTGTACTGACTGCCCGAAGCAGGAGGTAGCCATATCTTGCTTCCTCATCCTTGGCATATGAGCTCCAGCTCTCCATGGCCAGGTTTTATTGTGTTGGCACGCCAGAGCCAACGTCATCATACACTTTAAAGCAAAAGATGCTCTGTTGTGGGTGTATGGCCGCACACCCAGCTGGACAGCCTAACCCCAGGGTGTTTTGTGGGAACTCGTAGCCCTGTCTCTGGGGCTTCCCAAACTAACAGCACACTACAAAGCAGGGAGGGCTCGGGGCTCTCTTGAAGATGACCTGGAACCCATGGACTTCTCAGTTTTGGCTGAGTTCTTTTCTGGGTTTCTCTTCAGTCCACCAAAGTGTTATGGCCAGGTTAATTTTGTGGTTCCCATCTTCTGGTCAGAGAGTTCCTGAGGCCAGGCATTGTCTGGTACGTGTCTGTGCCATCACAGGCGTTAACAGGGAAACCACTGCTTTGGTCGGTAAGGTGAAATGTGAGAGAATCTACACATTTCCAAATTACTGAGAGGAGACAAATATTGGAGACCAGTCAGGATTGGGTGCTTATGCTGATACATAATGGGGAATCGGGACACACATTAAAGTCAGCAAATGGACAAAACTGGGCTAAAGAGGGATGAATGCAAGGGGAAAAGCCTCCCACCTTTTTAAAACCAAAGCTCAGGCTCCCATGCTAAGGGGAGAACTGTGTTGCACTGTTTTCAGGAACAAATGTTACAAAGCTTTATATCTGCTGTCAGGATACATGTTGCATATTCTGTAGGGGTCAACAACATTCATGTAGCAGAAAGGGTGAAAAGGACAAAGATGGGTGATGAGAGAGAGCCGTGCTTGCTGCTTCTCTGAAATTCTCGTCTATGTTGATGTAGGTTATTAAAAAAATCCTGGATATTTTAAGTTCCTTTAATAAACGGTATTTTAAATTGATCAGTACATCACACTGGTTTAGATTTTAAGAGTGCTATCAATTACTTTAAGGATCTGGCTCTCCAGATTAGATTGCAGAGATGTAGACTGCAGAAATTGCAGCTCAGCTTCTGGCGCTGACGTCGAACAGCCACCACAGGATACAGCTGTGAAGAAAGAGATGAAACCCCTGCCAGGGTAATATGGGTTAAAAGTCCCCTAATCTCCCTTCCCTGCAATGCTCTGAGATACTTCTGCTGATTTGTTCTGCTGGGGAGAGAAAGTGTCAAGGTCTTCCGGGAAAAAATAGAAATATGTATATATATTTACAGTGAATCTTCCGGTTGAATAGAATTGGCAACCTGAGTAAAACTTTGCTGCAGGAACTGTTATTTTGTATTGATTGCATTTTTAAAGATTTTTCTTTAAAGGGGGAGGCACCTTTTGCTATTGTATTCACCAAAAGGTCTGAAAACCTTGCAGGCCCCATTCTCACCTCTTCGTGCACCAGAAAGCCAGTCGAGGTTTCAAGAATACCGCTGATCCTGGATTAGACTTCGTTCTTAAGTGCCAGTAATTTAACACTACTACAGTTTGGTACCTATCTTTCATGTGTGCTCTGTGGAAGTTTAGAAGTCAGAATTTGCTTTTCAGACAAAAAGGGATAAACCGAAAGTTTCTTTGTTGCCCCAGAGATGGGCCTGATTCCTGCCAGCCTGCAGCCTTATTCACAGGGCAATCACTCATCTCCAGCATCGGGTCTCCCCAGCAGCATGCAATTTGAGCACCGACCGCATTAGAAGCATCCTTCACGCGAGCCACAGGAAAGCACATCTCCAGCTTTACAGCGTCTCACAGCAGTCTTGATTACACAAGAATTAGCTCTGTGTGTTTAACTCAGCTCCTAACGCTCACGTTAAGGCCATCCGGCAGGAAGCCTCGGCTTTTACAGCCGTTCATTTTCAGCAGCGCTGTTATTCGGTTTTAAGGTCGCTTCCCAAACCTGACCTGCAAACACGGCCCTATGAGGAGGCGCGGCGCCCCCACCGCAAAGGGAACGCGGAGCACACAGGTGAACTGCAGGCTGCACCGGCAGATGTTATCCGCCCATTTTCCTTGGTGTCCCCACCAGATCGCTACGTTCTCATTTTAAAAACCGCTCTTTGCCTTTCCCGTCCCAGCGCGGTGCCAATGCCCACATCCCCAGCGGGACCCGCAGGTCCTGGCAGCTCCAGGTGACACCGCCTGCAGCCACAGCGCTCTGACAGCACACGCAAGCCTTTATAGTGAGATAATATATTGAATAATAGTAATAATAGGAAGTAGCAGCTATTTGGAGCCCGAATTGGGATTTCACGTTGCTTGCAATGCCGCCATCCCCGGGAGGGGCAGCGCCCGCTGATGCACCCGAACGAAGCCGCGTTATGCAGAGGCCCCGGGCCGCCATTCCTCCTGACGTTTCCAAACCCGGGTCCCGTGCGGCGGCGGTGCCGAAATCTTTATTGCCAGACAAACAGCAGAACCACCGCGACTCGTCGCACCCCCCGCCCCGCCCCGCCGCTCCGAGGGCAGCGCGCCGCGCCCCGCCGGGACATTTTCCCCTCAAACGGGCGTTTGACGTCGTCCTCCTCGATACCGAGTGACCAATGGGGAGGCGGCGCGGCGGGCAGGCAGCCAATCGCACGCCGTTGCTACCTGCGGGGAGTATTTTTAGCCCCGGCGGCGCGGGAGGGCTGCAAGGGGTCGCGCTGCTTTGCGCCGCGCGGTGACGCGCCTCAGCCTTTCCCGGGCCGCGATCGGAGCCTCCCAGCTCCGCGGGGTCATCGCGGCGGCGATGGGAGCTGTAGTTCGGCGCGGGCCCCTCCCCCCTCCCCGCGGAGGCGAGGGCCTCGAGGGCAGGGTTTGACGAGGGCAGCTTTGACGCGGGCCGTGACGCAGCGCTGCCGCGAGGCGAGCCACGCGCTGACGTAGAGAGCGGCGCTTCCACGACGGTGGGGGAAGGCGAGGGGCGGGGCGGGGCCCTGCGGGCAGGGGCGGGGCCGGGGTGGGCGGTGCACGGCGGGGGGCGGGGAGGGGGCGGGGCCGAGGCAGGGGGCGGGGCGAGGGAGGCCATATATAGGGGCGCGCCGCGCGGCGGGGCAGGAGCAGAAGGAGCGCGGTTGCGGCGGCGGAGCGCGCCCGTGGTGGGGGTGTGAGCAGCGCAGCCCTCCCCCCCCTTTCCCTCCCCTTTTTTTTTTTTCCAACCCTCCCCCTCCCCTTTTTCTTTCTTTTTTTCTTTTTTGTTTTTTTTTTTTTTTTTTTCTTTTTGCGTCTCTCTTTCCCCTCCCGTCCTCGCCGAGGCAGCCGGCTCTCGGAGATGGGGGCCGGCTGCTGAGCCCGCCGCCCCCGGCACTCGCAGCCCGCCGGGATCGTTCGCGCCGCGCCCCGCCGGGTGAGTACCGGTACCGCTCGTGGAGCGCCGCTCGTTGAGGGCGGGGCGGCCCCGGAGGCCCGGGCGCCGGCGGGGGCTGCGGCGGGCGCGGCCTTGCGGGGTGACGGGAGCCGGGGCGGCCCGGGAGCGAGGGGGGCACGGCGGGACGGGGAGGGCGGAGGGCGACGGGCGCCTTGCGGAGCGGGGCCGGGAGGGGCCGCGCTCTGCGGGGAGGAGCGGCGTTCCGACTGACGGAGCGCCCGCAGGACGCGCTGAGCTCCGGGCTGCGCCGCGGGGAGCGGGCCTCGCGCCGCGCACCTGGCTTCGTTTTCTCCCTTACGGGCCTGGAAAGCGCCCTTCTTCCTCCTCCTGCTACCGCCGCCGCCGGAGCTCCCTGGGCTGTGAGCAGAAATCTAATGAGCCCAGCCGCCTGTTATGTAACGCCGCTGCGGCCCGGGGCCGTCGGAGCGCTGTCCTCTAAGCAGGGGCAGAAGTTGGGGCTGCCGCCCCGCACCGCTCGCTGCCCGCGGGGCTGCTGGCTTCCCGGTGCGCCCTGAAAGGCTCGTTCCTTTCCTAAGGGGACGCAGAGGCGGGGAAGCAGAACGGACGGATTAATAAATCATTTTTAAATGTCCCTCTGAACCACCCAATCAGCTTTTCTGCACCGATTGTGTCCCTTTTGTAAATATCTTCTGTTTGCCCTTGATCTTTTCCTTATCCCCACCCAGTGCTGATCCAGCAAACGTTTAAAGGTCGCCTTATCGTGCAGGCTTTCACATATTCCCATACCATCTTGGGGAGAGCGCGAGTGGCTTGGAAATAGGGTTCCAGCCTTTAAAGGAGATTATTTGGAGCAGGAAACAACAGCGTAAATACAAAGCTTTTTTTTTTTTTTTTTTTTTAATAATGGGATTTTGATATTGACTTTGATTTCTCTAATCTTTACTGACAGCCATGCTGAATTTTATCCCTGGCGATGCAGTGCAGAAAAGCACACCCTTAATTGAAATTCATGCTGGTCGTTTCACAAAATCGACGTGTTTTGTTTCAGTGGAACTTTGTATGCCAAGGTGTCCCCGGGGGCTCGGCGCCCTGTTGGAGCTCTGCAGGTCCTCCTTTGCACTGTGTGCTGATACCTCATTCTGCCCTTTTTTTTACTTCAGATGGCTGTTTTCTCTTTTGTCCTTTAAAGGACCAACAACCATATTTTATATTAAATATAAAATGGAGTCCTGGAGAAAAAGGAGGGCGACTGTTTTTTACTGGAGCTCTGCAAAGCCCTGTTGGCTCCGATGTTGGCTGTAGCTTTTTGAAATCTGGACTATAGAAAATGCAGTATGTATAGTTAAAATGGAATGGAATAATTTGTAGGAAAAATAAGTAATTAATTTCACGATCATTGCCATTCCCAGTGCAGGAAATTGATGCACCTATTTTGTATGCATTGCCTGCATTATCATTTTAGCTCTTCTGAGGAAAGGAAGGAAGTGTTGTTTATGAACAGTGGACATTTTCTCTTCGCTTGATGCAACTTCACCAGTGCAGCGTAGTCCACAGCATAATTCCAGCAGTCTGTGCGGATGGTTGCCTTGGAATTAAAATGTGTTGCATACTTTTGGTTCTTGTCTGAAGTTCTCTAAAGCAACTGGAAATATTTCTGTGCCTCTGCAGCTTACGGTGTGACCATTGTGTTTGCAAACTTTAAAGTGATAAATGATCGTCAAACTAGGAGCTCAATCTAAACTAATAGTCCAGTGCTGAATTTTGCAGCTGAGCACTATAAATCAGCTGAGTGCGGGTTGGTAATTGAACCCTTGACAGACCTGGCAGTCCTGTGATGTCTTAAGAATTACACTTGCTGCTTTGTGAATAACTAAACTGCAAGCTCATGTTATTTTGAAATGCCCCGTGTTGCGTATGTAAACACATGCCTGGTGCATCTTCTGCAGGGCTGCTTGTAAGTCATACCGAACGTAGCTGACACCCTCAGCTTTTGCAGGCACAAGCATAAATAGTTTGTGGGTTTTTTCACTTAAAACATAACCTGTTTTATGCAGAAAGTGAAGCTGAAGGAATAGGCCTTGAACCTTGATCTTATCTTTCCTTATTTGGATGTGTTTGCTTTTGTTTTTTCTTAAAGGAACAAGAGCACTCAAGGTGAAGGATAATAATCAACTAGCATCAGCACTTTGAAGGAAATTTGGTTTCCCTGTGGCATCTTGGACACTTTCTTCGTGTTTTGAAACAGACTTACACCTTTGTGGCATAGCAGCTATGCAGCTTGAAATCCAAGTAGCACTCAATTTTATTATTTCATATTTGTACAATAAGCTTCCCAGACGACGTGTCAACATTTTTGGTGAAGAGCTTGAAAGACTTCTTAAGAAGAAGTATGAAGGGCACTGGTATCCAGAAAAGCCATACAAAGGATCAGGGTTTAGATGTATACACATAGGGGAGAAAGTGGACCCGGTCATAGAACAAGCATCCAAAGAGAGTGGTTTGGACATTGATGATGTTCGTGGCAACTTGCCTCAGGATCTTAGTGTTTGGATTGACCCGTTTGAGGTTTCATACCAAATTGGTGAAAAGGGACCAGTGAAAGTGCTTTATGTGGATGATAATGAAAATGGATGTGAGTTGGATAAGGAAATCAAGAACAGCTTTAACCCAGAGGCCCAGGTGTTCATGCCAATTAGTGACCCAGCATCTTCAGTGTCTAGTTCTCCTTCTCCTCCCTTTGGTCACTCTGCTGCTGTGAGCCCAACTTTCATGCCCCGCTCCACTCAGCCTTTAACCTTCACCACTGCCACATTTGCTGCCACCAAGTTTGGCTCGACCAAAATGAAGAATAGCGGCCGTAGCAACAAGGTCGCCCGCACTTCTCCCACCAACCTTGGCTTGAATGTCAATGACCTGCTGAAGCAGAAAGCCCTTTCCTCCTCCATGCACTCTCTCTACGGGCTTGGCTTAGGCAATCAGCAGCAGCAGCAGCAACAGCAGAAGACTTCTGCCCTTTCTCCTAATGCAAAGGAGTTTATTTTCCCCAACATGCAGGGTCAAGGTAGCGCCGGTAGCGTGTTTCCTGGTGACAGCCCCCTTAACCTCAGTCCTCTCCAGTACAGTAATGCCTTTGATATGTTTGCAGCCTATGGAGGTCTAAATGAAAAGTCTTTTGTGGATGGCTTGAATTTTAGTTTAAACAACATGCAGTATTCTAACCAGCAATTTCAGCCAGTTATGGCTAACTAAAAATAAAACGCAAGTGACATCCAAGTGAATACTATTGTACAAGTAAAAATGCACGTACCCAAGGGTGTATCTTTTTTTCCACCTCTTGAGATTTTTTTTTTTTTAAGGCTTGTAGTATGAATACATTCGAGCTTGGTTAGAGAAATACAACATGCATCATTTTTTCATTTGCCAACCAAGCACAAAATTATTTTATACTGACTGTACATTAAAAAATATACTCTCAAAATATGGCCTCTTACAGTATTTAAGATATAGCAAGGACATGGCTAATTTTTTGTGTGTATATATATATATGCACGCAAACATATGTATATATATATTAAAAAAATTGGCACTAGTAAGTGGGTTTATTGGTCTTTTTCTAATTGTATAATTTAATTTAGTACAAAGTTTGTAAAATATCAGAGTATATATATTGTTTCTACAACATGGTATTGCATTTATATCTTTTTACTACAGTGATCTGTGACAGCTGCAGCAGCTTCATGTTGTATTTTTTTTACTGAAATTGTAAGATATCCATCTTAAAGACATCGATTCTAAAAAAATATAAAAAGTTGTGTACAGAATATTCCTTAGTGGTGGAATCAAAAATGTACGAAATATTTGCTTTTTTCAAAAGAAACACAAATTGTATTTTCTGTTAAAAGTTTAAAGATTTTTGCTATATATTATGGAAGAAAATGTAATCGTAAATATTAATTTTGTACCTACATTGTGCAATACTTGAAAAAAGGTATAAAAGTATTTTGAGTCAGTGTCTTACATGTTAAGAGGGACTGAAATAGTTTATATTAAGTTTGTATTAAAATCCTTTAAAATTACTCGGCTGCTGTGGTCTGTGCTGCTGCCGTGCTGAAGGTCGCAGCGCTCCTCGCGCAGCAGAGTGGCTGGGTGCAGCACAAGGAGCCATGGAGGGGCTCCACGTTGCTGCACCACAGTGATGGTTGCATCCTGAGACGCTTCTGGCAGCGCTGCCTGATGAACTGAGCGAATGTTTGCTTGTTTTCTGTGGCCTGCTGAAGTCAAAAGGCGGTGAGTTGTTTTTGCCTTGAGAGTTCAGGCTACGAGCGGTGTGAGTGCGGAGCTGCTGCGCGATGTGAGCTGTCTGGAAGGTGCTCAGGTGATTCAGTGAAGCTCGCTTTCTGTGTAAGCAGTGGATTTGAGCTATTATCTCGGCAGGTCCCAGACAATGCATCAGCGTTCTGGTTCTGTACCGGGGATGAGTAACTCAGAAGCTCAGCTGAATAGAAGTGCTGATGTACGGTTACTGCGCTCATTGTAAACTTCCATCTTATATGCCTCTATTAAAATGAGAAATGTAATGCAACTAGAGTGTGGCAATCTAAGGTTTTTGTTCTAGTGGATTTCACCAACTTGAACTTCATAGGTTTTCAAAACATGAACGTGAGTGGGAGGACAAAGAACTCAGAAGGTGACAAAAACCAGATTTTCCATGGCATCCCTTTCTCTTTTCTGTCTTTTTGACAAATGCTGTTCCTTGCTAACAGATGTTGTCATGGGGAAGAGAAACTTGCTTACTTAATGCCGAACTCTTAACCAGCAACTTGTTTTCCATCCCAGTTCCAGTTGTACGAAGAGAAGATGTGTGCTCAGTGGGTTGTGCTTTGGCTCACAGCAAGGAATTCTGAGCTACAAAAGGAGCACGGTGTTAAAATTGCCTGAACTTTACGGTTCTGAAATCGGTGTTTGAGAATGCAGATCATCCTTTGCTTGTCTGATGCACTTGCTTTTGTGAAAGGCGTGAGTTGTCCCAGCGCCAGCCCTGTGCCACACACACACCCACCCAGTTTGGTGGGAGTCGAACAGAGATTTGGTGGAAATAACCTGGCTGTGAGGAGGAGTGTATTTCTACAGCACTGAGGTCTTTGCTTTGGCCAGAGTGAAGCTGTGACAAGTATTGCTCTAGCAAATGGATGGGTTGGAGGTGTGAGGCTGGCCGTGCTGTCAATTTGTAATGCCATGACAACCAATTCCAAAGCAATAGTGGAGTGAACGTTTTTTTAGGCATTCATCTGTCTGCTGCTTTTTATTGAGTTTGCCATCTGGTTTATCTTTTCTCTGACGGCACATCAGTGGGCAGAGCTGTACTTAAAAGCGTTATCACTAATTTTAAGTGTGTGCTTTTGCTTCTAAAAGGCCCCTGAGCCGTGTGTAATTTTTACAAATACTGAAACATGCAGAATGTTTGATTTGTGTGTTACTCTGTTTATATGGCTAAAGTTTAAGGCTCCTATAAGTTTAGTAATCACAGTGTAGTTATCGCTAACCTGGCAAAGAGGTTGAGCAGCTGTGATGGTGGAGGCTGTGTTCTGTAATTATATTCCTGTGATAATAAGCTAAGATCATTTGTTTTAAAGGCCATCCAGCAGTACTACCCTCTTTCCCTTCTGATTTGTTCACTGTCACCATCACCAGCTCTGCAATGAAGGCAGTTGTTGCTGGGAGAAAACTCTGGAAAAAAAAGATGCTTATTATTTTTTATGTGACTGCATACAGCAGCACCTCGTAATATAAAGCAGATCTTAACAAGCAGGTTTTTGTCCTTCTTGGGTTGTTTATGGTGCTTTGCAAGGAGACAATCTGGAGAAAAAGCATTTGGTGTTCTTGTAGAATGCAAATAACATTTTTAATGTGTTCTCCTTCTCCTTCTAGAAATTAAAGCTTTTACTGTTTTCTGTTCAGTCCACTTCATCCACTTATTTATCATCTTTTACTAAAGCTTAGTGCTGAACTTGTTAGCTCAAACATGGACTTTGCAGCATACTGTTCTGAATGAGTGCCCAGTCAGTCTCGTTTGATTTGCATGCACCCAGTGCTCTGTTCCTGCAGCCGTGCTCTCAGGTAAGCTTTCAGAGAAAGGGCCTCAATGGAGTGAAGGTGAAAGAAGGAAGCATTGCTCAGTTGTGCGAGTTCTCTTGTGTTTTCTCTTGTGAGCATGCAGTTTGCTTCCTTACAATTGCAGGTGCCAGTTAAACCTCAGAAGATGTCTTTTATTTGCAGTGAAGAAAAGGCGATGCTGTAAGTATGCGTCTCCCATAGCGCATCCTGTCTCTTCGCTCAGAGTCTGCAGCACGAGTTTCAAAAACCGATCCCTGCAACGAGCTGAGGTAGCAACAGTGTTGTGCTTCACTTCTGAACCAGAACCAGACCTGACTGCAGCCATGTCAGTGTCAGAGTGGCTGCAGGCCCACGTTTACGGCAGCACCTCCTCCAGTAGTTACTGCTCACACCCATCTTTGGTGTAGATCTCTTCAAACATGCAAGGCGGAATTTTCAAGGTATTTTTACTGGTTTTATAAAATGTCAAAATCAGTAATTACCGGGGTTTGTTTTCTCCCACTGTCTGTTAATTTGTTAAAATGTCCATTCTTCCTCTCTTAATTAAACAGGGCGCAAAACCTGAAATAATAATTATTAAATCTGCCAGATTTGTGGGATTTGACAGACCTAAGCCATGCCTGCTACCCTACGAAGACACAGTTATAACTGCAGTGAAGGCTGTACTAATTTGCTTTTCCTATTAAGATTTTTTAAACAATCATGCTACATTAAAACAAGATTAGTGTTCGAGCGTTGGTGTGGCCATTGATAAGGGTGGCCGCACGTTCATTTGTAAGGCTGACTCAGTTCAGCACAAGTTGATTGCTTTCGAGCATTGTAATGGGGGAATCAGTGAAATTGAGTTCAGGGTCTGCTTGGCACGGCGGGGCAGGGAGGGCTTGACAGCTACGGTCTGGGCTGCGTTTGTTGTGTGGACGAATGACAGAGCTCACTCTGGATCTCGATGTAGTAGCCGAAATTAAATGATGTGATTGTTTTCATGAGGGAGAGCCGGTTCATGGGTCAAGTTCACAGCGCATCGTGCTTCATTGCCACGCCATGTTCTTCACATTCCACCTGCGGCGGTGAACCCGGAGGCCATGGGCTGGCCTGGCTTTGCAGTCTCGGTGAGTGCAGGTTTTTGTGGTTCTCTCAGCTTCAAGCAAACAGTCACAACTTACACAAACTGTAATTCCAGTCACAAAGGATCATTCCCTGCTCTTCACTGTGCAAAATCAGCAGGCTCTGGAGCATCGCTGGTACCATCTTGCTGCAGGCCACAGGCAGATGCTCGCCCGGCAGCAGCACGGCTCTGTGCTCCCCTGCACCACAAACACAGCGGCCTGCGACAGCAAACCGTCCTGCTGCGCTTCGGAAACATCAAGTAACCAAACAACTAGTTGTTAAATCAGCTCTTTCAGCCGGCTTGGGATCAAACCAGAGTTCATTCACTGAGCTCGTGCCCCAGACTGTTCTATTAACTTTCAGTAATAAATACCCCAGAGTTTGTGTTGGTAGTTTTGGAGCAGATGAAGCAAACCGACGGTTCAGCATTCTTTTTTCTACCATCAGCAAGTTGATTTAAATTGAGTGTACAGAGTTGGCTCCATTCCTCTCATGAGCTGCATAAAAAGTTTGCTAAATTGAAGTGCCAGAGCAGTAAAATCCTGCTGAAGGGACTGTTTCCAAAGCCCTGCGAGAGGCATGGTTAAACTGTTACTGTGGCAGCGTATGTGTGACTTTTGTCCTCTTGGCTTTATTTTAGTGAAGGTAGTAAGGAGTTTCGCCTCGCAGAAGGGAAAAAGCATTAAGGCTTCAGGAACATAAACCATGTTCTCCTTGGCACTGCGAGTTCTTTACCTCACAGACAAAATATGAGCAGTGTGCGCAACGAATAGCAGGTGTAAAATATTTTTAGAAAAACCTTGGCATACAGTGCAGACTTCCCCTACCCCCATCCTTTATTCTGTCATCTTTTGTTTGTTGAAAACAATCCGTAACATCGGTGGCTGCAGTTTTGAGGGAACTCGCTGTAGTTTTTGTTCGGTAATTGAGCGCTTCAGAGGCCTAAAATCAGAGACTCTGCTCCTCTGAGAGCAGAGGCACCATTATGTTCAAACAGGCTGTCAGCCCCGTGCCCTCATGGAGCTCATTGAGCTGCATTCCGTGTTCGCCTTAGCTTAAAGATTACCCATAGCATAAAACAAAAGAGATCTCTGGGAATGCAGTGCCTTAATTATGGTTTAGTACCTTCTTGGAGAAGCTTCTTTGAGAGGCTGATAGCAGTAAGATTAATGCAATTGAGAACAACCTGGAAACCCACCTTTTTTCCTTGTCAGAGTATAATAATTCCTGCAATGTGATGGAAAGTGCAGCAGCAGTAGAGAGGGGCACAATCCTAGGCTGCAGCAAATGAGGACAAGCCCAACTGCAGCAGCCCTGGATGCAGAAACAGAGGAAGAAAAACTGCTTGCCTTTGGAAGGCCTCAGGTATGCAGGTATCTCCAGTGAGATCCCCTTACCTCCACTGCCAGCACTTAGATGAGGGCTGCAAAGGAGGAGATCCTGGCTCCATCCCTTCCAGTCACTCGGGTACAATGCATGCACTGAGCTCCCCTGGGCTGGCTCCACTTCACTATATAAAAAGACAGCATAAGGAACTACTGAATGCCAGAATACAGTTAATTACATTCCATTCTTGCAGTCTTATTAAACTGGGTGAAATTGCTGCTTGGAGAGCTGTGCCCAACAATACAACAGCCTGGGAGGTTTAGTCCTGTCGGTGGGAACAAGAGGTGGCAGCTCAGTGAGGAATGTGGTACAACGGATGACGATTTGGGCACCCGCATTTCAGTTCTGACTCTGGGTGAGTCATTGCCCTTTTCTGTGCTGGTTTCCTTCTCTGTCACCATTGGAATTCAAGTTAGATGTTTGCTGGCTATCGCTGCCTTTTTGTTGTCAATTCTGCTGAACTTTATCCGATTTCTGTGTGCCACAGGAGCATCTGAGGTTGACCTGTCACTCCCCCAGTTCTACTGCCTTTAGCTGAGTCTTCTCTGTTGTACAGTTCAGTTAAGGTATGTGACCTTCCATTTAGAAGTAAGGCATGCGTATACAAGTAAAACACTTAATTCTCATTGTCCATACTCTGGAGTTTGGTTCACCCACCATTGGAGCAGAAAGCCTCGAGAGCTGTGAGATCTCACATTCCAACTATTGTGATTCTTTAAAAGAATTTCTGTGGGTGTTTCTATAGATATAGAAGTATATATTCCTCCAGTACAAATCATGTGAAAATGTTACACCAGCCTACTCACTGAAGTTGCTGCTGGTCAAAATTAGGCTTGCATACAGATTTTACAAACTAAAACAAATTCCCCTTTGATTTTCAATAGACCATAATGTTAAGCATCCTGCACGCAAGCACAGAGACGGGGCGACCGGGTTCTGCTGCTGGCTGTGAACTCTGGGCAGTCTGCAGCAGATTGATTCAGCCTTGCCAGAAGTGTTTTCTGTACTTCTGAGCCACAGCTGAGCTTTAGCTCCCTGCTGACTCTCAGATGCTGTAGCTTATTTCTGCAGCTTATTTCTGAAGCCAACAGGTTCTCAGTCCGTCTGCATCTCTCAGTATTGGCCAGGTGTAAAGAGCACCTTGGTTTGGCAGTTTAGTGGGAAGAGTGCAGATCTTCCTGATTCGATTGAAGACGTTAATGCCCGGGGCAGTTACCTGCCCTGCAGGTGCTCTGTGAATCCCATGGTGTAGCGATTAACTGCTTTGAGCCAGAGATCATATTTTAGTTGAGAACAACTGAATTTCATTCTTGCACAATACAGAACAATGTTCTCGATTTGGGTCTTCTAGAAAGTTACAGTGCTGTCCTTAAAGACTTCTGTCAGTGTTGTCAAACCGAGTCACTGGAGAAGCTCCAATCCAGGCCTCCAAGCGTATTTTAGGAGTTATGAGCTGACTATAAATAATAATCAACCTTGCACCACATCAGCTCATCTTCTGGGTATAAATGTAAATAAATTTGAGAAACGTCAAGCTGTTCTGTGCAGTGCCACAAAAAGACTTCATTGTTAAGTGAAAGTTTAGATCCATAGGAAGTCACGGGCTCACAGAATGGATGTGGATGAACTCGTGAGTGCTGGCAGTTAATTGCAGCTGCTCAACTGAATCAGATCTCTGAGGGACACTGAGTGACTGGGGCCACCGCCGCCCTTCTGTCTGCTGCTCTCCTGTACTGCTGTGCAGATCCAGCGGTTGGTAACCAACCCAAACTGGCTCCTACAAAATGGGAAAGGACAGAAACACACAGAGACAGATCAGCCACAGGGTCTCTGACCTCTCACTCCTAACCTTTAAGGAAGCTCTCCAGAACTTCAAAAGACATCTGAGTACTAGAATTCCTGACTCTAGGATATAAAAATCACACAGACACTACTTGCATATTACACTATAATTTTTGCTATTGCCAGTCATCCCAAGGCAATAATTATTCTCATCTCTCTCGCCCCCACTCCGTGCCATAAATGACATTATCAGCTGTCCTCTGGCGAGTATCCTCCCTTTGATCAACAGGAACCAATCGTTCTTTTTCCCAAATTGCCTAATTCATTAATATAATGAAGTCTAACTCAGAACAATTATTCTCAACCTGTATTTAGCTCTAAGGTTATTGCTTCTATTTCAGACCCAAGGAAGCCTGATGTGCCTGAAAGCATGTCTGGTTTTTCCAAGTGTGCCAGCTGCCCTAATGAATGATGTCCCGGCTCCCTGCCCTTGTTCACTTACATCTGGCACTGTCCTTCCTACAACAGGTGCTGCACCATTGTCCCTATTCCTGCTCAGCTGAGCCTACAAACAAAGGCATAGCCCTGATGAGTTAGTGGAGGTAATGTTAGCCCAGTTAACAGAAGTGTAAGCACCATGTGAAATTTGGTGCCCAAAGTAAATGAAACGTCGGCTCTAGATCTCATCTTCGCTATTCAGGTTTTTTTCAGTGTTCTGCAGTACAACCTCTCTCATCCATTTGATATCCCTAGATCCTTTCCTCAGTTTTTCATTCTACTTTCCTGCAAAGTCTTTCTTAAAATTTATTCTTCCCAGTTTCCTTCCCAAACCAAGCCTGCTCCCCACTCAGCTTGTCTGAGGTCTCTGCCTCACCACGTATAATTTGCAGTGCATTATCTGATTGAGACTGTAATCTCTTCAGGGCAGGGCTGGCTCTCTCTGTACTCACAGTTCCCTTTGCTGCTCTCTGAGGTTGAATAAAAAGGACAGAAATAGAAGAGTGTACAGACACTCCCAAATAAACCGTGTATTTTGTCAGCTGTTTTCAGGAAGCAAATTAAAGACTGATTTTTATTAGCAACCTGGTTTACACTGCATCACAGGAGGCTTGAGAAGAAGTAGGTGCTTCAGGCAAAGCAAGCTCCTTTACAAACAATTTGTGGAACCTATTAGTCTAAGAATACCCACGCTTACTGAGAAGATGATGCTCCATCACTGCAGCTCAGCATGGGAGGAGGAAACCATGCTCCAGGGCGGTCCAGAGGGGGAAACCTTCACCATGTGAGGTGTTTCTGCCTTTAGCCACCAGTGACACTTTTCCTCACCACGTGTGGGCTGTGGGCAATGTGCTCTGTGTACATTGCATTGTACATTGGTCGGAGATCTCTGGGTTTGGAGTTTTGCTGCCAGCACAAATGAACTCTGCGTACTTGAATATCTTCCCAGTGAAATCGGAAAGCGAGCAGCGTGGAGATGGGGACCATGAACCCTTGGTGTGACTTTCCCAAAGCACTGGGAGCTAGAGCTTTGACATTGCCTATTTTCCGAGAAGCCCCAGGGACATTTAACACCTGTTTGCCCTTCCCAGTCCCCGGGTTATGTTGGCCTGAGCAAAGGACCAGAAGGGCTCCTGCTTTTCTGGCTCCCAGCTGCTTTTTGAGAGCACCTAGCTGTTCTCAGGTGCCCAGCTTTCAGTGGCTTTGGTGAGCTTTTCCGTGGGGCACTGTTCTCTTGGACATGTTGGTCTCTCATCAGATATGGAAACATATACTTGCTTTCTGCTAGCACTTAGTCATCTAGACAGAATGGGCTTGTTTTCCTCGAGGAAGCTTAGGATCACATAACTCTTACAGGCGCAGGGGAAAACATCCGTAGATGTCGGGATTAGTCATATAACTGCCACAGAGATCCTCACCCGGAGCCGCACTTCTCTCCCCATGAGCACTGCTGGGCTGCAGCCCGTATCAGATTCCCAGCCTTCCCCATCACAGTGTGTATCTGGGCAGGCTGGAAAAAGACAGGCGGGTCGTTCGCTCTTTGACCCATACAACAACCTCTGATTGATTAGGATGGGCTTAAACTGGGGATGGCTGCTTCGTGGGGCTGTTTTACAGGGCGCTGGTGGAGCAGGAGGACACAGAAGCAGCTGTTGGGAGAACAAGATGGCAGCATGAATCTGAATGAGGTGTACAAGATGGCAGCACAAATCTGTGTGGGGAGAACAAGATGGCATGGGTCTGCTCTGTGGGGCAAGCCGGGAGGTGCTGAGCAGGTAACCAACCTGCACAAGCTAAGGGTGCCACATCAGCTCCTGCTTTGCAAAACAATGAGTTGCTCATAAATTACAAATCAAAAGAGATTTTTTTTTTTTTTTGGTAGTTATGTTTGCAAAAATACGCTTGTGTTCAGAATTGCTGTATGTAAAAACCTGAAAGCACCTGAGCTCGAGGCTGTAGGGCTGTGGAGCAGAGCTGGCTGCACTGCACCATGCAAATAAGCTGGTGTTTTTAAAGCAGGCCCAGAAGAGTTTGCAAATGCATTTATTTGAGCAAGCAACCCAACTGCTGCTACCAGCGATGGATTTGCAGAGCAATTGTGTGTTTGCTGAGCTCACAGGCCAATGAGTTCTGTGTATGTTACATGGTTTGCACAAATCAATATGTAGAGTATGCACACATGCCCACATCTGGAACAAAGACAGGGATTTGAATAGTGACCTACTTAGCACCTGGCACTGCCTGGATCTTCAGGGCAAAAATATGATATTTTCCTTCTTTTTAATGAACTGCTAGGTTTTGTTAGGCAGGCTGCAGCAATGCATGTTTCATGGGGCTTTTGACTCCTGCAGGACGCAGATAGGGCAGGAGCTGGGCTTGGAGCAGCCTCACTTACCTGGGCCAGGGGGGGCTTCACATCCCACACACAGCAGCACAGCTGCCCACTGCCAAGGGCACGGCAGTGCCTTTCCATTCCAGCTGTGGAAATAGGAAAAGAGAGCTTTATCCAGGAAACAAAACCACCCCAGCAGTAGAAATAGACAAGGGCTTCAGCCTGCAGCATGCCGTGGTGTGGGGGGTTGTTTTCAGAGCTTCATGGAGAACTGGAGGTTTTAGGGCTCCCTGTGAAGAACCCGGGGCTTTGGTGGAGTGAGGCAGGAGGAGCTGTGCTACCCCAGCACCACTCGGGAGCAGCTCCACGCCACACTCACTGCACAGGGAAAGGGGGGCCAAAGTCTTATGACCTCCCAGTGCCCAAAGGCTCAAACCCGTGACAGAAGGCTCATAGGACAATTACAAAAAAAAACAAAAAAGAAGGGAGAAATGGGGGAAAAAAATACCTGACACTTGTCCTCTCTCCAGATTACAACTGTAACAAGAGGTGAGCCAAAATAATTCTGCAAAAGGTGTTCTCAGAAGTGTTTTTTTTTTTTCAGTGAATGCATATATAAATAATAGTAATGAGAAAAGGTGTATGTGTGTGTGCTCTACAAAACAAGGGAAAATTTTCTTCATCTTGAAGCCCATGGACAGTGAACAATTTGTGAACAGAGGAGCAGCTCCATCGATCTTACACTGCATTTGTTACAAACCATTTGCTCATGTATAAACCCTCCTGCCAGGGCAGAAGCAGCAAATCCTCCTTCCATTTTCTTCCACTGAAAAATTACTTTCAGTGAACATGGAGAGCAGCATCAGTGAGCAACAGGCGCAGTGGGTGTGGGGATGGCTGCAGTCCTGGAGCTGAGATTGCAGTGGAGCAGCTGCTGGCTGCATGCACACGGGGCAGGGCTCCTCGCATGGCAGGAAAACAAAAGCCAAGCCTAAAAGGCCATTTTGCAAAACCCCCTTCCTCCCCAGCACACCTACAGTGAGCAAGCGAACTGCCACTACTCCTATGGAATAATTGAAGCATCTCATCCAAAGAAACCTCTCTCTTTTTTAAAGCTCGCAGCAAGTCCCTAGATGGCAACACTGCTCTTTCTGACCCTGGTGTAGTAGTGAGAGCTTTGCCGTGGCTGACGGATCTCCTAAAGCTCCTGCTTTGGAGATTATGTGATTAAGTGAGACCTTAAACTTCCATTCACAAACGAAAATGGGAATAAGAGAATGCATTTAATGCTGGTGGGGGCAAAGAGCAGCTTAACGCTGGGGTCCCTGGAGGCCTCTGCAGTCTGATGGCAAATCGGAAGAAGAACCGAAGCACCCAAGGGTTGATTCAGGCAGGTGCAAGAGATTGGATGTGAGGAAGCAGTCTCAAGTTGTGATGAGAGAGGTTTAGATTGGGCGTTAGGAAGAACTTAATGAGAGAGCGGGGAGGCACTGGGACGGGCTGCCTGAGGAAGCGATGTGAAGGTATTTTCCAATTTAATGTCTCTTCCTGGAGAAAGAGTTATCAGAGACCTTGGTGATGAGGACACCTTTGGTGTAAGTCTCATTTTGCACCTGTGGAAGTGGAAAGCTGTTATCTTTTGGTGCTCAGTCTTTGTGTGTTGGCCGTGACTCTGCGGGTCCGTGAGGCTGCACTCAGTCTCCCCCTGCAGCAGCTCTGTGTCTGTAGTGAGCGGAAAAGGCAGCCCTTGCTTTGTGCCAGAGATGAGATCCTTTCGGCCATCTCCTGACTGGTGACTTCTTGAGCGGGCACAGTGGAAACTGAACTGCAAACATCATAATCAAATTGGAGTTTCCTCCTGAGTTGATTACCTAAGTCGCACACATCTGTTAGCTACAAGAAACAACAGCAGAAACTGAGAGTCTGATTGCAATATTCACTTTTTGGATGATCTGCAGGTCAAGTATTACTCACTGAAGAGATCCATGAGTAATTTTGAATAACTGGACAAATATATTTAGAAACCAAGCAATCTGCAAACAGGGAGACGAAAAGTGCCAAATAAATTATACATTGCATCCTTTTCTTGCAGCTCTGGAGATGGATTTGATTGCCTTATCACATCCTGACCACATCCATTTTCCCCGATAAGCCTCAGTCCATCCAGCTGTATCTCCAGGCAGCCAGGGACGGAAGCAGCAACGTGACCCAGCTCCGTGGGGTCTGCTTTCCCCTCGGAAACTCTGAATTACACGGCAAAGCTTCTGCGGAACAGTTCAATTCAGCAGGGCGAGGCCAACTAACCCCAACGGGGGAGGACCTTTCACCCCGGGAAGCGTCGGCCGGGGCTGCAGGCAGCGATCCCGCAGCGCGATCCCGCGCGCCATCTCGCGTCCGGCCGGGGAGCAGCGGCGGCTCCCGGTTTGCGGCGTCACTTCGGTGCCGGGACGTGAGGAGTTTTCACTCTGAGCCACAAGTAGCGCGCAGATGGGAAAAGGTGGCTGTGCGAGAGCCGGGGTGCCGCTCGCCGGGGCGCGGTGGGAGCAGCTGCTCGGGTTTGGCTCCTGTAATTACATTCCTGTGGTCGGACGCTGCCGAGCAGAGCTGGGCTCTGCCCTGTGTGCTGAGGTGCTGGGGAAACTCAGTCCCAGATTTGATGATGGATCAGCCAGGTCTCAGACGAGGACAGCTTGCTTAAAGGTATCACAGCAGTGCAGTTAGGACTGATTTTTCCAGCCAGTGTAGATTATTAAGCAATATTCTATTTCATCTGCTGTTCTGTCATCCTGCTGCCGGGTATTACGATATCCTGCAGCTTATCATGCGGTGTCCTTGCTGCCAGCTTCCCTTTTTGCAGCCCCAAATATCTTGTACAGCAGCAGAGCTGCTAACCAGCCTCTCCAGTCCCTTTTCCCAACCACTCACATGAAGCAGCCCTGGCCACCATGCAGGGCTCCGTGGGGCACCGCCGATGGATTCCCCGATGAAAAGCCGACCTTCTGTTCTCACCCCTGTCCTGTGTTAACCAGTCCTGGACTCAGTAGACTGCCTCTTGTCTTGCTGCAAGGCAGCCACGTTGCCTTAACCTTTCAGGGTGAGAATTTCCCCTGGAGCCTTACAGAAATCGACGTCAGCTCCACCAAGCCGAATCATTCCTGTGGTGGCTTCAAGGAAAGCTCTGCAGCATCTCTTTGCCCTGCTGACATCTGCAGACTCTTCCTCTCTGTATCACACTCTGGTCAGCCTGGTGACTTTTACTGTCTCTTACCCTTTTTACCAGACTTGCTGAGTTTTGGTGCCCAGTCCCTAGGAACTGAATCCCAAATTAGCCGTGTCTGTGCCACCCCCAGCCCTCCGCTGCTGCAGCAGACTGAAGCAAAGGTTATCTGCTGCAGTTAATAGTTAAGCAATTTCTTACTTTTACCCTTGGGCGAATACCATCTGATTCTGGAGATTTATGACTGTTGCTTTTCTATTTATTTCAAGCAGTAGAGGAAGTGATGTCCTTTGCACGTGTTACAATACCCACTTTGGTCTGAGTGCGCTAGGAGTGGAGCAAAGGAGGGAGAGAAGCTACAGACTTCTGAAGGGGCAGCTCTTTTTTAATACAATCCAACCACCACGTTGCTGTGCCAGCTTAAGGTGCAGAGATGCTCCCGTTCCTCTCTCTTTTCCTCATTCTCTCTTTTTCCAGCCTCCTCCTTTCTGTCTGCGTTTCTGGCCATCACTGACAAATGAGGGGGTGAGAACTTGCGCCGTGAGTCCTTAAGCAGCGCTCGGTGCTGGCCCAAGGAGAGCTGGCTGAGGGGAGGCTGCGACAGGCAGAGAGTGAAATGCCACCACTGGGGTTTGCTGGCTGAAATCCAAACAGCCTTTGAAAGACTTTCCATTCCATTTCCAAACTCTCAAGTCTGAATGTCTTATCATTTGCCGAGCCATAAATAGCTGTGAACTGAGCAGGCTGGGCTGCTTTTGGAGCTGATAGTTACGTCCAATAATGCCACAGTGTTATCTTCGTATCCCACTGGTGTTTGCATTGTAGATCAGGAGCCCAGGCTGGCTTTTTTGTTTTTTTTCCCAAAGATTTAAAGGGCTGGCGGGACATTTATTCAGTTGTGCAACCTCCATTCAGAGCACTTCTCAGGCCCTGGACACGGGACTCATTTTTTGTCCTGTGACAGCAACTGTAAATCTATAAGGCAGCTGGAGGTCACTTATAGTCAATAAGTAACCAGAGCTCATGAAGGGAAAACACAAAATATTTGGTATAAAAACATGGGCTCCACATTCACAGCTCCCACCCTGGGCGATGTCCTCACAGCTGAAGAGCAGCAAAGGGCTCTCATGGACTCCAGAAGCCCCCAGCACCCATGATGTGGGTATCCACTCTGGCCATACTCTTTTCCTAGCAATTGTCTAATACTGAGAATTCCTTGCTCTGCACACACCACGTGAATTACAGCAATGTGGGGCAGGAGGTGCTTCAAGTGGGGGCAGTGGTGCCCATCTGGTGCCAGCTGAGGCCCATGGCAGGCACAAGTTCTTGCAGGAGCCCCTGATTTGCTTCCAAACAACTGTGAGCTAAGCTCTTAAATACCTCTGCCATCTGAATCACACCCCAGTGGTGTCACCATCTCTGTTCCTACTTCTGGAGCTGATCACCCACCAAAGCTTCCGCCTGACCTCGTCTCCAGCCCTTGCAATGAGAATATTTCCTCCTTCTCAGTTTCCTCTTTCTCTTGACCTCAGCCACTCTGGGTTTGTGTTGATGCCATCTCCTACCTCTGTGTAGCTGCCCTGCCACCCGTCCCTCATGCCAGCCGGGACCTGCACTCTGGGTGTGCTGTCACAAGCTGCTCACCATCACTTTTTTGCTGTTATTCTGTCCTTCTAATAGAGCTTGGCTGTGCAGATGGTTTGCGCAATAACCTGTGACTCATTTTCAGATCCATATGCTGGATGGATTCCATCTTGCTTTAGCCGCAGGGTTTGCTGATTGTTGTGTTACACTTTTCATTTTCAGACTGGGAAGTGGGCAAGCGGCTCTGCGTGCTCCCGATCCACCAGCACCTCCTGCTCCATCCCTCAGCCCTGGGGGGAATCCCGGGGGTCTCCATCTCTGTGGGCCTCTGTCCCTGCATGTCTCCATCGCTGGGCACCCTCCTGCTGCAAAGCTTGGTGTGGGTTGTGGGACCTGCAGGCCTTCCCCCACAAGGCACTGGTCCGGGCGATGTGGGTCAGTGGGTCCTGCCCACCTCCTGGGCCAGGAGAGACACACAGGCTTTTCCTTTTCTCCCATGTGTTCAATACAAATGGGCGTTCCCCTTCAAATTTCTGACAACCTTAGGATCACCTTGAGACGTGCGCCCAGGGAGCAGGATGGACAAGGGAGTGTGAGCAATGCGAGAGAGATTTTCTGATCAGCAGCCACACGCAGGCACCCATTAGCCTTGCTAGGGCTATAACAACACCCTGTAGTGCTTGGCCCTGTGCGTGTACTTTCCACAGCTGGAGGACTGGTCAGACTTGAATTTTAGGCTTCTTAAGGATTTATTAAGAGGCGGAACTAAAATTTTAGCTTGGAGTGGTGAGCTAAGCTCTCCAAGGTCAGGAGGTAGAGAGGATCTGGTTAGGGCAGCCCTGTGCCATGGGACAGCCAGGGACTGAGTTCCCTCTGCATGTGTCGCCCATGGCACGGCGCCTCCTGCCTCAGGGTCATGCAGTTTGGTGTGCAGGTTGGAGCCCAGGCTTAGGCACAGCGCCGTGCTCACTGGAAAAGCCACGAAGGGGCACTTTTTGCTCTCAGAAATTCTGGAACAACTGGGTGCACATCTCCAGAGCCTCTCTAACACTCCCACTCCCATCCTTCAGCTTTTGGAAGAAAGAACCGTACAAAGTCAATCTTTATTGAAGCTCTGTCCCCCAGGGCCTCAGCGTTGGAAGGTATGGCAAGAGCTCACCACTTCCTACTGCTTCCCTGGGAAATGACAGATGCCACAACCCAGGCTGATCTGGCAGGGCTGCACAGCTGGGGGACACAGGGCTGGCAGCGCTCGGCTCCAGAGAGCAGCCCTCAGCAGAACACAAACGTCATGAATCTTGAACTGGGATTTTTTTCACATGCACTTCAGAAAGATACAATAGAAAAAATAAGCAGGTGTTTACCTGACCAGCAATCTGATGCAGGCTCCCCTCCCTTCCCCCCAGCCTCTTCTGACATTGTACAGGTAAGCACAGACTTACATCTGCTCCTGCTGCTGGTGTGTTCTGAACGCAACTCAAGCCCAGGCCACCAGAAGAGCCCATCCTGGGGACCCTGACCATAGCATGGCTGCTGGGCACAAAACCCTTCAGGAAAACAGGAGATGGGCTCCACCTTTACCTCCTCAGTTTACCCTCCCTGCTCTCCGATTCCCTCCCCAGCCCTGAGATGCCCTCACGCCGCAGTGGGGCACATTGGGCAACGAGGTGACCCAACCCAACAGGAGGTGCCACGGCTAAGACTCACCGTGCAGCTCTCCCCTCTTTGCCAGATGGGATATTCCCCATCGGAGGAAGGACTTCTTCCAGGAACAGCCTTTTCTTTATTTAAGGATTTTTGCATAGGCGAAAGTTACACGTTTTGGGCATGCAAATGTCAAAATGAGGACACACACACTCACACCCACAGCTCGCGCTGTCTCTCAGGCTTTTTATTCGTGCACATGACTCTGTGCAAAATGTTTTCGGCAGCTTGAAAGTGTGCCCTAAAATGATCAGATTGATAAATGCCTTTAAAGCGTCCGCTGCGTGTCTGTGCAGCCCTTCACTGCCTTCACGACTGCACACAAAATGCATTCTGCAGACTGTGTGGCACTTTCCTATTTTGAACTTCATTCTGGCTGCTTTTATTTTGCTTTCCCAACTACACAAACAGGCTTTCTGATGAAATTAAGCAGTACATCGCTGCATGCGATGCTGCAAATGTGAAGGATTTTCAAAAGCATGACAGCTGGCAGCACAGAGCCAGCTCCTTGCCTGGAGTTTGCACGAGACAGACGACGTGCTGATTAAAACAAAAATAGGAAAGTGCAATAGAGTAAGAGTGTTTGCTGACATTGCTATGATAGAAAAGTAATTTCAGGGGTGAGATTGTGCCTTGGCCTTTTGCATGGACCTGCTGTCCTGCATTTCAGATCTGGGGAGTTCCTCTGTGGGAATTTTCTCAAATGAGGATTACTAGACAGGCAGCAGATGCCATTCAGAAATGAGGTACAATGCAAAGGATAACAGCTAGGAATTAAAATAAGGAAGCTGATAGTGCATAGATTGGTTAGATTTGCACAACTGTAAATACAGACAATAATTTACAGGCTTTTCTCTTGAAATATATTAGTGCTGCTACGAAGAGGCAAGAGCATGACTTATTTATAACAACTTACCATCACATTTCCATACTGTAAATGACACAGATTAAGTTGATATTATATATTACTTAGCTGTGTATCAATTAGCTACACGAATGCTATGAATTCCGTCATATATGATAGAAGCTATATAAAAATTGTATAATTACTGCAGTGAGTCATCTAGTTAAATGGCATTCCTATATGGACAAATTTATTTCAATGCAAGATTAATAGCCT